TTTTTTTTTCATCCCAAGCGTAGCTAAGCCGGGTACTTTAGTATATGAATCAAATTCCACATAAATAATATGAAAAAAGCATGGCTGAGTTTTGGTAATAATAATTTGGGCAAACTTACATTATGGTATGTGGGTTCCAAATAACAGAATAATTGTGGAAATCAGCAGTTGGATCAAACCACATATAGAATTGCTGTTCTCTTTCACCTTTTCCTTGTATGTAAACATTTGTGTGTACAATGTAAGGATCCCCACTCAAATTACCCAAGAATTCAAAGTCTATCTCATCATGTCCTGAGCCTTGAGAAGATAACTGCAAAATTGTCATTAACAAAAAGATTATATTAATTACTCATATTGGCTAATATGATTCTTTTAATGTCTTATCTCAAAAGTTTGCTAAGTAGGAATTAATTAGTTAATCGAACTCACATAGTAAGCGGTTACTGTGCCAGCCGAGTTTCCTTGGACGAGCTTAAGCTGCATTTCGAATTTTCCAAATAAGTACTCTTGTTTGGACTGGATGCCCGAGCCAGAGGTCCGGTCGAGGGACAGAGTAAGTAGCTTGCCGTTTTTGAGTACTTTTACGCGATCATCGCCCCACGAGACTTCGAAATCTTTGTTGAAGTTTCCAGCAAAAGAAGAAGCAAATATTGAGGTGATTAAGAGAATGAGATTCAAAAGTGTGGACATAAAATAAAAGTTCATCTTTGTTTTGTGATGTTGTTTTGTTGACTTTTAAAGTGTTGGTTTTAGGAAGAATGTTGTGGAGTTAGTTACTAGGACATGTGTATGTGTATTTATAGGTGATGGAATAACATAGAAGCTCCATGAAAGGTTGATGAGCTGATTAATTACAACTTGGACATCACTAAACTTTGTTGTTAATGACTTCCTCCACTTAAGTAAAGAGGAGGTCCATTTTGGATAGTGGGGTTGTTAGAAAACTTGATGTTGAATAGATTATAATAACTTCTAATGCTCTTTTTTTAAATGTATAATTTTTATTTTTTTTTGGTACATGAAATAAAGCGATACTACGACCGCTTTATCACGACCAGATGAGGATGAGACACCCCCGCGACGTCATGAAGTAACCATAGGCCCGCCTCATCCGGGGACGATCAAACCGGTGCAAACCACCCGCTCCTTGAGCCGCCAAAGAGGCCACAAAATCCGCCACGAAGTTGGTCTCACGATGCCGATGGAGA